GGAACAGGACGGGAACATCATGGGGAAAACTGCGGGATGTTCCAGGCATGCATCTAAGCAAATCCCACTGCCTGCAGGCGGACAATACTGGATAATCCAGCCTGCCGGTTAGGGTGCTTGTAGCTCACAGCAAACTGCAAACCCTTGCCACTGTTACTCACCTGACCATAGAGAACTGCTCACTGACCACTCAGGGATTTTCTGGCAAATCTTCAAGTAACTGGATGAGGGGATATTTTCCATTTTCAAGGCAAACACTCTTTAATTTGTAATCATTGACCCATATAGGGTAAAGTAGGCCATTACAATGAAACTATAGGACAGCAAAGGTTATTTCAATTGAGACTGACACTCCCCCCTTAAGGATCATGTAGCGAGCACAGAGTCAGCTCCTTTCATGGCAAAAATGAAAGCTTTGTGTACAGCTGAGACAAAGATCTCTTGCTAATTAACACGTTAATCATGAAATGCAGTGTCACAAGAATCGGTCAATCGCAGAGAAATCCACCAGCTCTCCACAGGACACGATGCTGTGTGCAGAGCAACGAGGCTCAAGGCGGGGAGAGCATTTTGGTCAATCAGCAACAAAATAATTCTTCATGACTTCACCCGTCAGTAGATCTGACCCAAGACCTCTCAACTTTCTATTGCACCGCCAGCAAACACACAGCCACTGAAATGCGCTAAGGTAAGGGCACGCATGTGGCTTGTAACACTAACCCTGTTCACCAGCTTGTACTTGCAGACCCAGAGCTGGTCTGTGTTTGCACTTCCTATTGAAGGTAGTGGTGTGTGAGTGTGTGTGGAGAGAAGGGGTGTTGAATGGACTTAATTACAGCACCACATCTTGATGCACAGAGCTCTTCACGATTTCCTACTTAAATTCAGCATTTCCAGGTTCACACCTGCATGCAATTTCCACATTAATGTAAATCCCAGCCTGCTTTCTGCAGGCAGTGTGAAAGCACTTTAAACTTAAGGATAGCAGAAAACACAATAAGAACGAGGACAACAACAAGAAATTAGATTCTGTGCTGGGAGGGCAGGGAGGAATAAGGTCACAAAGTTCTCAAAACTCATCAAATTTAATCTAAAATCACTAGATCTTTCCCAGGGTTCCACTGAAGCCTTCAGACTTGAAATGAGACATTTGTCATTCGTACACACTACAGGATCACCTTACTCTGGATGTGATCCACTTGTTTTTATTCAATGAGAGGTTTTAAAACACAGGCTATATATACACATCCCTTCACTTACATAACCATTCAGAACCAGACAACAGCTGTTCAGTGAGCCTTTAGAATTTCACATCACACAGAGATGACCAAGCCCGACCCCCCATGCGGAGTGTTGCAGGTTTTGAATTACACAAAACATGTACAGCCAAGGCCTATGATATATTTAGGTTTTAAAACTCCCTAAATTAGCATTTCTAAAAAAACTATTGTGTGACTCAAGCCTGTACTATTTGCTCCTGGTACCGTCATGACTTAGGAAAATTTGCCAGTCACCCTGAAGACCAAACTCACAAAACATCTACAACTGAAAACAAAAACACATGGCGAAGCCATTTGAAAATGTACCCGTTTTCGTGTGTCCAGAAAAAAAAAAAGGCAGAACAGACTAAGTGAAACTCAATACAGTGATTGTCGTTTAAAGAATCCTGATATTTTACGAGCATATAATGGATCTAAATGAACAACATCCTCAGGTGCTAACACGTGTTATTCTGAATATCTTCATATCATGACGTAGCCTAGTGATAATTAAGTAACAGCTTTGGCGACTCACAAAAAAAACACCCTTTAAACCTATACACCAATGACGACCACCCCAGCTAACGGATTAGTAGTCAAACAAAA